TCAACCCGTAACGTACCATCGCAGAGGTGGACTTGCTCCCCCCCTCTCTTGGGGTGGACGCGTGCTCGCTCCTTTGGCGGACCTCGCGGATGTTACCACCGTGACCCACGCGTTCAAAATTCTGAACGCAAATGACCCGGTGGTCGCACGCGTTGCGAGGTCGACTTTGGAAATCGTCGTCCTCTTGGAGATCCGGCGTACACCAAACGAGAAGACATCGCCAAATATCTTGCGGGATCGCGCGATGGGGAACTGTCGTTGCCGTCTTCCAATCGCGTTTCGTTTTGGTCGCTAGTTAGATCGGATGCCCTGAAGTGCGCAAGGCTGTTTGGAAATGGGACCCGGTTTGATCTATTCTCTAGCTGGTGTTCCCAGCAACGCGAGGACCATACATCCGGCCGCCAAGCGGCAGATCATTAACTGATTGAGGGTCGCAGTGGCGGAGCATAATACATCCGCGCTTAACGCAAAACCGGACCAGGGTAAAGTTTTCGGGTCAGTACATTAGTTTCGTCGACTGGCGCTTTGTGCATCGCGCGCGCCTCGACGTGTTCCCCTTAAATGAAGCTCCTCTTAAACAATTCTCGTTGATTGGACGACGGCGGCTGGAGATGCCGGCGATGCAGTTAACCCATTCGGAGACGTTGCCCCACGTAGTCACTCGGCAGTTGCGCCACAACGCAATTGTCGAGAGACATGCCGCGGCCTCCAGACTCCTCGGGGAAACACGTGGCAAACAGTACGTCCCGGGTGTCGGCGAGGGCCTCGCGGCTGTGCGTTCCGGGATTGTCATGACATACGAAACTGGCGTCATTGTGGATGTGAACGTGCCCCTCGAAAACGACTTCGAGGCACCCAAGAATGCGAGGCTCGGGAAAATCGCAAAGTGCCAGCCCCTCGCAGACGATGCTTGGGTGTGGTTAAATTGTGCATGTAGACGGCTCCGTCGTGGTCACCATGGGTGCCTGGTATTATCATAACAAGAATGTAAACATGGTATGATGGGAAAACTGGTGGTGTCGGAGACTATCGCTTTGCCCCGACATGTACGTTGAGCATATCTCTGTAATCTGACAGTGGAGCGTGCTGGTGCCAGCCGCGAAAGACGCAAACGCGTCCTTGCGCAATAGTGAGCTCGCGAACAATACCGTCAGCACCAATGAACATGTCTCCGAGACCACGAGAGCGTAGTTACACACTGGCAATTAGCAATTAGCAAGTAGTAACCAGGAAGGTCAACTAACGCATGTGCCTGCACCTCGGCGGGAACTATTGCAACCTCACCCCCTACTATCTTTCTTTACACGTCTCTCATCTCTTTCACCTGCATTACAATGGACTCGCTGCAAGTACATCCACTCCTTCAGTAAAATAGAAAACAAGGTCTGAATAGAAAACATCGTATGATTCTTAAAGTTTCACCAGACACTCATTGCAATAGAAGCTTCCATAGGTCTGATGGAGGCTCCACTCAGGTCGACGCGTTTAATCGGAGATCCGTGCGTGGCAACGAAAGAATCTCTTCCCTCAACATTTACGCTGACACCGCAAAGTCGTGCTCCGGTATTCATGTCAGCGGGAATGTTCCCATTCCTTTGTTTTTCATTTTCTAACCCACCTCCGTTGTCACTCCTTTTTGCTCTCTCCAACGTACTTTATTTTTTTTTATTTG